CAGGTCCTGTCCGGTGTCTCTTGTACCGCAACGCAGGCTGGAGTACGTACCGTTGGCCAGATTCGCCACGGGGTCTGCTTTCTCTTTGGTGGATCAGGGAGTGTTTTGTCCGCTCCAAGAGATGATTTAAAAACCACTCTCTGTTCCCAGTGATATGGTGGTTTGGGGACCTTCAGCCTCTGCTCCCTCCTACTCCGCCTGTCCGGCAGCTTGGCAACGCAATGGCTTTCATGGTTTGGTTGGAGTTTGGTTTTGGTTTAAACTCACCTCAGTTGTCCATGGAACCTCTTTTTTTTTTTTTTTTTTTTGTTACAAATGTCTTTTGTCTCTGTGACGGTGTGGGTATAGCTCCAGGGCATCCACTTAACCGTTGCCCTTTCTGAACCGTAAATCCCGCTGTTTGCCTTTCTTAGCTGCTGTGAACTTCTTTGAAACGTGGAAAAAAACCCAAACAATTCTCGTTAGGTTGCGAGTATGCCAGCTATTTGGCAGCTGGGAGTGGGTGACGGGTGAACCGGCTAGCTAAATCGAAAAGAAAATTGCTTCCTGCTAGGAAAAAAAAGAGATGGAAGTTGTCCTCTCAGTTGCACGTGTAATTAGTACTTTTCACCTTCGAGAGAGCGTTACCATAGCACGATAGTGTCCTTTCCAGAAGCGGCCAGTGGGTGACCTCAGGGACATCTGGGAGCAATGGCATTCACAGACGTCTTTCAGGACTGCTGGTAGTTTTCCTGTGCATTCAGTTTTTGGTCTTGATTCAGCATTTTTCAGTAAATTGCTGTGGTGTCCAAAGCTTTCAGGAGTCTCGTCCCTAGAAGATTTTTCTGTACATACGTCCGTAGTGATTTGTTTTCCTTACAGAGGCTGTTTACAAGGGAGATGGTCGAGGTCAGGAGGGGAGAGAGCAAGGCTACACCTAATTTAAAGCTGCTACACATTTTCACACCCGTGCGTAAGGCAGGAGGAGGGCTAGGGCTAGAGGAGCGCTAGTGTGGTGGAGTAGCCAAAGAAGCCAGAGTACTTCTAGCTTTGGCCACCACAAGAACTCTTTTTTTCCATGCGAAAAAACCCTAGCGCAAACAGATGAGGAGGAACCTGAGCTGGTGCAAAGGAGCAGAAGATCTGGGTTTGCGCTGCCGGACGCGCTGCCTTCCAGAGATTACAGAGCTTTAGACATTTGCACAATATGTGTTACATCACAGGGTAAAAGGCTGGCTTCCTCGTATCCTGCTCGAGATCCTCAAAAGCGGCATCGCTCAACGGCGCGACACCAAAGCGGTGGACATCTGGGGAGGTACAGGAGAGCTCCGGGGTGGCCTTGTGTGCTTGGGGCACGAGACCCTCAGAGGCACGCTGCTGGGGGCGTCGGGCTGCGCTCCGTCCTGGGACAGGAGCAAAAGTCATCCCTGTGCTTTCACCAGGGGATGCTGAGTGTATTTATCTTGACTGTTAATTGGAAAGCTTCGTAAAATGTGTCCAGAGCTCTAAAGCCATTTTGTAAGATAGCAGTGTCCCTTTTCTACAGCCTTATTAATGAGTAGACTATCTTTAAAAAGAAGAAAAAAAAAATCAACTTCATTTCTTTCTGTGGTATGAAACTTGTGTACTGCGAACATATGAACGTTTAGCAAAAACAGAACTTACAGTTTTCTTAAAAAACAAACAAAAAACCCAACAAAAAAAAAACCTGTCTGCTTTCCATATGGTCTTTCCTCAGGTGCTAAATA